GCAACGAGCACCAAAATAAATGGGGCCACTATATTACTACCAGATGAAATCAGTATTTAGGCAAGATGTTTATAGCAGTGAAACAAGGTCACCTCATAATGACAAAAGCTTCAGTTAACTGGGAGGACATAAAAATTCTAACCTTGTACGTCACTAATAATATAGCCTGTATTAAGCCAAAGTTTGCCAGAACTATACAGAGACATTTTTAAATCCACAGTCATAATCAGAGATTTTTAAAACAACCCTCTCTCTGTACATGTTGGAAAATGTAGTGAAAAGAAAATCTGTAACCTATAGTAAATTTGAAGAGTGCATGATCTAGTTGACACGTATCGATCGTCGCATCTAAATTTGCACGCCCTCACTGTACCAGCAGAGTGCAATGAAGAAGTGCTGGCTAAAAGCTGGCCTCAACAAATACCCAACGATCGGGGCTCTGCAGACCGCTTTCTCTGCCTATGATGCGACTGAGTTAGAAATCAACAACAAAAACTTAACTAGGAAACCCAATATATTTGTTTAAAAAAACTGAGCCCCTTGTGGGTCAAAGAGGAAAACGGTAGAAATTAGAAAATGAATGGAACTGAAAAATGAAAATATAATACACCAAAACCTATGGGATGCCACAAAAATGGTATTAATAGGAAGGTTACATACTTAGGAAAGAAAAAAGCCTGAGAATTTCTGAGCTAAGCATTTAAGTAGTTATATAAAAAGGACATCAGAATAAACCTAAAGAAAGTAAAGGGACAAGACCAAAGATATAAACAGAAATTAATGAAATAGAAAACAAATGCATGTAACTATCAACAAAACAAGTGATTATTTGATAAGTGTCTAAAAGCTTCATCAAGAAAGATGAATACAGATGCATCAGAATTTAAATAGATAATAATAAAACATTATGGACACTTTTATGCCAGTAAATTTGAAAACTTAGATGAAATCGATAAATTCCTAGTAAAATAGAAATTAATAACACCTGCTTAAGAAGAAACAGAATACCAGAATATCCTTTATCCCTAAAAGAAAGTGAATTAATAGTTTATAATCTTCTAACAAAGAAAACACAGAAGGCCCAAGTGTGGATGAGTGTTACCAAACTTTCAAGCAAAGAGATTATTCTAATATTCTTGGAATAGAAAAATAGGGCACTTCCTAACTCTGGTGAAATGTACAACTATAAAATTTTAGAAAACAATATAGGATTCAATCCCCATGACCTAAAGAGCAGAGAAGAATTTTTTTAAAAGACACAAGATATACTCGATTATAATGGAGAAAGTCACAAAAAGTTCACCTACATTAAAAAGATGAATCACATCAGAAAACATGTTGATATTACCTCATAATTTTAAAGATGCATATATTCTTTGAACCTAAAATTTCACTCTTATGTATATTCCCTTTGAAAACATGAGAGCATCAGAAAACATGTATAAGAATGTGTGTCAAAACAGTTCAAATCACTAAAACTAGAAACAACCGAAATGCCCAATTAGAGTAACATAAGTATATAAAGTGGCATACCATTACAATGGACTATTACACAGCAATGAAAAGGAACATACCACTGCTACATGTATCCATGTGGGAGAGTATATAAAGCATACCATAGACATAAGCAGCAAATCACAGAAGACTTCATCAGTATGATTCAACGTACATAATGCTCAAAACCAGGCTAAACTAAAAAGACATTGGGATGATGCAGGTCCTATTTGGTTGATACTAAAATACACATTTTCACATTTTAATCTCTCTAAAATTGGGATGCTCTTATAATCGGTGGAGTCTGGCAATTATATTTAGTAGCACTTTTCCTTCTTCGACATGGAATAATGATGCATCTTACAAGTGCTGGGGGATTAGGTTTAATGAAATATACTACGTAGTAAAACTGAAAACAAAAAGCAAAATGACGTACATCAGATTTGGGATCACAACTCCCTATGTCAGGAAAGGAGGGGCTTGGGAATGGAGGGGCACCTGGGAGAATTCTAAAGTACTGGCAGTGCGCTATTTTTTCCACCTAGTGAACATGTTCCTGTTTATTGTTATTCTTTAAACAGCTTTGACTCTCTTCAGCATGATAGTTTTCACAACAAACAGAAGTGTGAAGAGCTGAGGAAGTGGAGATGCATGTATAATAACAGCTCAAGAGACTGGAAGAGGAGAGAGGCCGGGGAGCTGCAGGAGGCGGCGGCGGACGCTACAGGACATAAAGGGAGAGCTGCCCCGAGAAGCTCAGTCCGTCACATGTGGAGGAAACAGGAGAGAGGCTTCCTCTCCGTGAGCAGGAGGGAGAAGGGAAAAGACGGGTTCATGGAATTTGCGGTGGAATGTTGTGCATGTTTTCCTTGTGATGGCGTCTAATTTCTTCATAAAGGATTTATACGTGGGGTGGGCGTAGTTATCAGGAATCGCAGAGATGGACAGATGGCCATGAGGGATGGGCGTCTAAAATACTAAACATTTACTCAACTAAACGAAGAGCTTTTTTACATCCATTATTCCGTTTATTCTCTTCATCAGAGTGAGGAGTTGTGGATTCTCTCACGAAGCCCGCATTAGGTTTCCATAGTCACCATAACAAACTACCACAGACTGCATGGCTCCAACAACAGAAAGCTGTTTTCTTACGGCTCTGGAGTCTGGAAGCCCAAGGTCAAGGTGCCAGCAGGGCTGGTTCCTCCTGATGCCTCTCTCCTGGGGTTGCCTTTTCTCTTTGCATGCCTGCCCCTGGCCCCTCTTCCTCTACTTACAGGGACAACTGTCCTGTTGGATGAGGGTGCCCTTCCTAACAGCCTCATTTTAACCCAATCACCTATTTAAAGAGTTTCTCTCTAAAACAGTCACATTATGACGTATTGGGAGTTGGAACTTTAACACGGGAATTTAGAGGGACACAATTCAGCCCATAACAATGTCCACAAAGAAATAGAGATGTAGAAATAGTAAGCTGAACAGCTTGCTCAGGACAGGCAGTTACAGTGTCAGAGCTAGGATGCAAACTGGAGCAGGCCTTTCCTGGGGCTGAATACCAAGCATTCTACTATAAAGACTACAAAGGAGTCCTGCGCCTAGAAGACTGTAGATGGATAGAAAAGACCTTTTGGAGAATTTAAAAAAAAAAAAAAAAAAGAAAGAAAGAAAAAAAGAAAAAGGCTGACTATACGGGAGTAATATTATCTGGCTTTTCAGAACCACAAGCTGAATATTCCACAGTCCCCAGACAGACAATACTTGCTTAGGCTGTCTTTCAAAATCTGAGCTATAAGCAGAATGACTGTGACTTGTAGCCAAAATGACAGGGAAGGTAAAAAATTTAGCATCAGCTGGAATCTTCTGACACTGGTTCCCGGTTTTTTGTTTTTGGTTTTTGTCTTTCTTTTTTTTTGAAGCCAGGTGTTAAATTATAGGCTGAGGAGGGCGACACCTGCTGGGCTGAAAACGAACTGGATGGGAGCATGGCTCTTTTCATATGTGGTCCTCCACTGCCCTCTGCTGGTCGACACTAGGAACACTCAATAATCTCCTGACAGCCCTACTTCTCCAAAAACCACAGATCTGCAGGGAAAGGTGGGAAGAATCTCCAGGAGTCAGGCTGTGGAGTATGCCAGTCCCACCTCGCTCCGAACACACCCACTCACTTTGAATGAATGGTACAGTCAATTTACACTTTATGGCATTCTGTGATCGCAGAGCTAGTTTGAAATTTGCTTCAGCTGTTTTCATCATTAAAATTTTGAAAACTTACTATACCTGTCTTCTCAAAAATATTTCCCAAGGTCTAAGAATATCAGAATTTGAATGCAAGCTTTGATGATTTAACAAAATATTGGGTTCCTCATCAGTACATGTTTTCAAAATTACAAACTTATCCTATGCTTGGGAGGACTTTTATTTTTCAACATTTTAACACTGTGATTTCCTGTGTGATAGCCCAGGGACCCTACCATTTTGTTACAGTATTTTTGTAAAATTATTGCTTTCATTTTCAAATGTGACTTTTCTTTTTACAAAATCAATAGTTCATGTTTTTAGGAATTTCACTGTTACATATTTGGGGAACATGTTCTAAGTAATAAAGGATTCCCTTGAATTGAGAAGCAGTAAATAAATGCCAAAAGATACCACCTCTGGTCTCCCCAAGACCTCCTAGAATTCCTGGACAATGTGCCGCACCAGCTGGGTGGCCTTGGGACCACAGTGAAATTCACACCGCAGGGCTGGAGAGCCCTCTGTGCCCCCGACCCGCGCGTGAGCCCCAGAACCTCTGTATGATGACCCCAGGGAGGGTATTTAAAATGCAGCTCAGATCATGGTACCAGGAGAGGCCAAATGTCATACCTTTGATTTAGAACAAAATACAAATCCCGTACCAGCTCCCCAAGGCCAGGCGACCTGCCTCGAGTGGCCCCTCCGAGTCTGACCTTGGCTCCCTTTCCTTCGCCATCAGTGGCTGGCGTCTTCATCCTTCAAGGGCCTCTCTGTGGCTCTGTTTCAGGAGCCTGTTTATTTCTCCAGGGCACTTGCTTTAATGTGTAACAACCGTGTTTATGTACCTGTTGTTCATTTCCTGCCTGCACCACGAGGCCCCATCCACCAGGTGAGCCTCGTCCCTCTGGCTCTCTGTGGCTCCCCCAGTGCCTACGGAGCGTGTATTTATCAGTGAAGGAGGGAGTGGCTGTAGTGAGCAAAGGAAGGTGTTGAGAGGTGAGTGACACCCAGGTCATTCCGCACAGACCACAGCACCGAACTCCTTCATAAACACAGGGCAGCCTCATCTCTGAGCCATGGTGTGCGGAGCAAGGAGAGGCCAGTGCCTGGGAGCAGGGCGCAGGCAGAGCTGCACTGACATCTGACCGGTACCCGTCACCTACATCTCCCTTACCTACTCAGGGAACACCAGCGAAGCAGAGAGAAGCCCAAGCCTCGAACCACCGTTCAGGAGACCTGGCAGGAAAGACATGCGCTCTCACATCCGACGTCATCATTTAATCAGTGGGTAGGTCCTGATCCAGGACGCAAACCTGGCTCCTAAAACAACCAGCAACACTTTGTGTTCCTCCAGTGCCCTCTCCTAGAAAGGGCCCCAGCACAGCCCTGCGGATGCACAGCCCTGCCTGCAGGGAGGCATGTTCACAGTCCCATTTTACAAATGGAAAAACAACGGCCCCTTGCTCCACAGGCCGGAGGGCCACGGCCAGGCGGCAGGCTGACCCCTGGCCTTCCAGGGGCTCTGTCTCCATCCTCAGCTCCTGAGCAAGGGAAAATACACTCAGAACTGTCATCAGTCTGCAATCTGTGGCTTGGGGAAGCGTGATGAGAGCTGTCCCCAAGAGAGGTAGCTAGCAAGGGCTGAAATGCCTGCTCAGCTCCAGGGAGGCCACACAGACACCTGAGGCTGCGTTTCCCTCTGACGCACTCCTAGGCTGATAAAAATTCCTCAGCCTTATGTAGCTTCTGTCCTCGGCAGGAACCTGCCATCTGACTGGAACAATGCACAGAAGTCAAGCCAGGTGGGATGTCTGAGAGCCCCCCGGCTGGCACAGCCTCAGGGCAGGCTGATCTGGGGGTCCTTGAGGAAGAAGGCCAGCTTCTGGGCCACAGCATCCAGCTCGGCCGCACTGGCGTGCTGCAGGAGGTTGCTGCTTCGCACGAAGAAGTGCTTCAGAAAGTGCTGGCTTACACACCTGTGCAGCTTCCTTGCCAGGCGCAGGAAGCCTTTGCTGAAGACCTGCCAGTCCTTCGAGTGGGGGTACTTCTCACAAGTCCAAAAGAGCACTGTCTGTGGAAGGAAGAGGCGGGGTCAGACATCCCTGAGGCGACTGAGGAGAATGCCTCCAGAAACACTGAGCTCACGTGACCTTGGAGGAGGCAGAGAAGAGTCACCCAGGGCACGTTCGTTGGGCTCTGAGTTCCTGACCCCCAGCCTCAGGGTGCTCTCAGCCTTGTCCTGCTGGTCTCCTACACCTCTGTTCATTCATTCGCTCTCCACTGACGTTTCTAACGATCGTGACTCTCCTCAAAGCTGATTCCCCACCCCTGGCAGGTGCCTTTGCCTCTACAGGGAAAATGGAACCCCCGGTGCCCGCAGATGAGATGGCTCTGCCCACACCAGCACCTTCCCCTCCGCCGCTCCCCCTGCCTAGCACCTGAACCCTCCCTCCTTCCAGAAACTGTGAGTGATCGGTCTCCCTCTTCCTCATTGGCTTTTAAACCTTCTCAAAGCTCTGCTGCGCCCTCGGTCCCACGTCTTCTCCTGCCCTGACCCTCACCTCCACCAGTCCAGGTTCCTCCAAACAGCCACCCCAGTTCTCCATCGACCTTTCCTCTGCTCCGACTCCCTGCCTCAGTCCACGCCAGTAAGGACTCTTCTGCCATCAGCCCTCAGACGCTGCTTCGCTGAAGACTCAGCGATCTGCATGTTGCTAAACGTGCCCAATAGCCTTGTCCAGCCCTCGCTTCACCTGACCTTTCAGCAGATGTGACTCCCTCCTCTGTACTCTCCCTCCTGAGTTAATCTGCACTTGGCTTCCCAGCCAACACATGCTCTGGGGTTTTCCCGGCACTACAGATACTCCCTGGCAGGCTTCTCTTCCTCCCTCTCCCGCCTTTAACTGTTGGCATGTCTCGGCCCTAGGCTCTCTTAGTCTATCTTCCTTCCACAACAGCGGCTTTAATGTCCACAAAGATATGAGGACTTCCCATCCTCTTACCAGCCCAGAACTCTCCACTGACTTTTTTGTCCTGGTATTTCTTGAAAACCTGAAAGTCATCTGTCAGCATGTCCAAACTGGACTCACAAGCCGGGCCGGACGCCAGCGTGGCTCATCCAGGAGTTAGGCAAACTCAGGAGCCGTCCCTGCCCTCGCCGACCCAGTCAGGTCCTGCCAATCCGCCTGCGTCAGTGCTGGGTTGGCCGAAAAGTTTGTTTAGTTTTTCCTGTACAATGGCTCTCGTAGTGCTTAGCTGACTTTAACCTCATTCAAAACAATTTTGTTAGATTGTCTTGTGACAGCTGTCATACCAGCGTGCATTAAAAAAAAAAAAATCAAAATTGGTGAATTTTTGTGCAGCCATTTTTATATTGAAGATGGGAGAAAATATGTGACATTTTCATCATATTATACTTTGTATTTCAAGAAGGTAAAAACTCAACTGAAATGCAAAAGAAGATTTGTGCAGTGTACGGAGAAGGCGCTGTGACTGATCGGACGTGTCAAAAGTGGTTTGCGAAGTTTCTTGGTACTACTGACATTTTGGCCAAGTAATTCTTTGCTGTGGGGCTGGCTTATGTATTGGAAGATGTTTAGCAGCAGCCCGGCCTCTACTCACTAGAAGCCAATAGCAGGAGATAATGACATACTCAAAATATCCAAACCAATGAAGTTACTGGTGAAAATGAAAAATGTGTCTTTTATTTTACAGAAGAAACTAAATGGACTTTTTGGCCCACCCAATAGTTCTCAAATCTATCCACTTATATCACCATCGGGTTCCACCACACCTCGCCCAGACCTTGGCAACAGCCGTCCAAGCAGTCTGCACCTATTTTTGTCACCTTCTAGTCTGTCACCATCCACACCGAAGCCAACGTGATCTTTTCGAAATATAAATCTAAGTTTCTTCTTATCTGAAGTATCTCCAAGTCTTCCCATTGCGTGTTAATTAAAAATAAAAGCCTTAACAGCGTTAGGTTTACCAGGCGTGGTGCCAACCTTCCCTCCCAGCCCTGCCTGGCCCTGTACCCTTCCCGGCCCCCACGCCGGCCCCGCCGGCCCCCACGCTGGCCCCGCCGGCCCCACTGCACACTCTCTCCCACCTCAGGGCCTCGCACAGCCCGCTGCTGCGCGGAGCGGACTTCCTTCTCATCTCTGTCCAGGAAACTCACTCCTCAGGCCCCATTTCCCTTTGACGCCCATTAAATATCCTCTTTGTCCTTTATTTCTCGTGAACAGCAACGATTGCAGGAGCAGCCATTTTCATATTTATTTATGCGACCCCTACTAGACTGCAACGCCATGAGAGCAGAGGACGAGACCTCTTCCTCTCGTCTTTGTTCGCTCCCGGGTCGGTCACTAACACCCTGCAGAGGGACAGGCCCACGCGCCGGCGGGCACTTGATTCACATTTACTGAAGAAGTAAAATAATGAATTAACCAGGGGTGTCCAACCTGTGGCCCACGCGCCACATGCAGCCCAGGATGGCTGTGAATGTGGCCCGACACAGAATTGTAAATTTACTTAAAATGTCATGAGATTTTTGGGGGGGATTACATGTCACAATGTATTTAATATGTGGCCCAAGACAACTCTTCTTCTTCCAGTGTGGCCCAGAGATGCCAAAAGGTTAGACACCCCTGGTAGATGTTGAACATGTTTAAAATATAGTCTTTACTAAAAAGGAAAAGAACAGTGTTAGGTTCACAGCAAAATACTGAATGTTTTTAGATTAAATTTTTTGGAGTAGATGAGTGGGCGATAATGGCATTCTAGTCAAGATAACCTAGATACAAAAACAAAATGTATTAATTCCGCTCTTGAAGTTAGCCTTTTATCTCCCTAAGCAAACTGAAGCAGGTAAGCCTATTATAATCAAGGCCCTGTGCCTTTGAGTGAGTTTTAGAAATACTGTATTTTGCTGTGTATAATGCATCCTTTTTGCCCAAATTTTTGAGAGAAAAATAAGGGTGCACGTTATACATGGATAGTACATGAAATACTTTGTATCTGTTCTTGTGTTTCATAACCCTCCGACCAAGCATGGAAGGCTAGAGAAAAAGGCCGTTCTGTTTCCCTTTGCCCCACCCTCCTCAACACATAACCCCCTCTTAAATGCCCAGTCTTGCAAACAGACGCACAGTTTTGCTGTGCTGCGTGAGTGGGTTGGGGGGACTGACGCAGAGAACCTTTAAGGGGTTGCCCTGAAAGTCTCCAGGTGATTTAGAAGCATCTGGAATGAAAATGGTCTGTGCATGGAATACAGTTTTGAGAGCAGTTGGGGGGAGGGGAGGGTCAGGGCAGCGGGGGGACCCGTGGTGGCCCTATTCAATCTTGCCTAACATATTCATGCCACTTAAAGCGCCTCATCCTGGGAGGCAGTGACATCAATGGTTAAGATGAGGTTTTGCTATAAGACACACTGGAGTTTGCTTCTCAGCTCCTACTCCTCCTGGTGTAGAAAGACAAACGAGAAAGAAGCTAACTTCATCAAGCAAATTAGACAATCTTCAGAAAGCCCTTGCCCTTGACCCAGAACAGGTGTGTATTTTTCGGGACATATAGAAACTCCACAGAAAGGTCCCAGTATGTGCATAGGAGATGCAACCAGATTCTTGAGCAGACAGATTATCAGAAAAGATTAAAAAAGGAAAGCAAAGACTAGGGATTTTATGAGGGGGTAAAAAAGTTGAATAAGATGTGAAGTCATTCATTCATTTGATCAACAAATATTTACTAAGCAACTACTAGGTACAAGGCATTGAGAGAGATAGGAGGGGTTCAGTGATGAGTAAGGCCAACATGGTATTTGCCCTTAAACAGATTATGTTAGAGCTGAGGGAGATACACAGGGCTGGAGAACGGTTGTCCATTGAATGAGAGGAGGCACAGGTAGGAGGAGCATGCAAGGAAGGCACCGCAGAGACAGGTGACCACCCCACGGGCCTGTGCGCACCTGTGTAGTAGGTCAGGGAGAAGGGCTGAAACTCCCGACAGATACTAGCTAGGCTGGGGCTGCGCTGTCCCTAAGGGTCCGATACCTCCCACCCTTAGCATGCTGCAGGCGGTGTTACAGGAGCGTCCAGCTCACCATGCATGGTCAGAAACTTGAGGAGCCAGTGCTGAGAGTTTGATCAAAGGCCACCTTTCCAAGAGCAGCACCTGGGTGCCCAGTCTGGGTCGGGTTCTGCTGCCCTAAGTGCTCACGAAGCAACCTTCCTCTTCTCCCTACCGCTCCCTTCGCTGCATGATTCCACACACATCTGCAAATCGGTTTGGTCGACATCTGTCTCCCCTGCTAGACCATGAGCTCCGTGAGAGCTGGACCCATGTCTTCACTGTGTATCTCCAGGTGCCGAGCACACAGCAGGTGTGGGGGCAGGTGTCTGGCTCATAGTAATCTCAACAAGTATGTACTGAGTGAGTGAATGCACAACGTGGGGTTTGGGGCAAGGGGAAGCAGGTGCTGGCAGAGCGAGGGAAAATCCACCCCGATGCTGGAACCCAGACATTCAGGTTTACAGCACTATTCTGTGCTAACCTGAACATTTCCTGGCTTCCTCCTCTGTGCGGAGCATGTGTGAGCGTGTGCGTGCGTGACTGGCTGCACTCGGACTAGAGTGGGGGCTGAGTCCTAACCCAAGGAAACACATGGATTTATCTGAGGTTCGAGCAACTGGCAAGCTTTCATGAGACTGCAGGTTTCTCAAGCGCACAGGCCGCATGTGTAATTCATTTCTAAAGCTCGGCGGGGCTTCTGGCAGCCAGTGGGCACTTGTGTTGGCTTGTTGAGTAAAATGAAAGGAGGGGAGAGATAGAAAGAGAGAGAGAAAAAGAAGGTAAGATGGCAAAGAAAGAAAAGGGGGAGAGGGGCGGGGAAAAGTTTGCCCTGCCAGGAGCATTGTAGACATACATCCCATGGGGATTCTCTCTCTCCACGAGCAATAAATAAGTGGCGGGGTGGCAAGCACGGACTCTAGAGTCCTATCCTGGGCTCATCACATACACCCCCAGGCCCCTTCCCATGGCTCCGGCCAGGCCTACAGAAGAGGCAGAGGGAGCCACCCAACCCCAGCAGCGGTGGCCGCCACTCACCTGCAGATGGTAGGACGTGAGAACAGGCCTCTTCCCCGGACACCAGACGTCCTCCTTCATCTGCCTCAGCGCCTGGAAGCACTTCCGGCGGCAGCCCCCATCTTCGTCCATCTGCTCCAGCAGCACCTGCTCGGCCTGCAGGAAGCTCAGCTGCCAGTGGTAATTGGAACGGGCCAACAGGGTAAATCCGAATGACTGGAAGAAGAGAACAACAGCGGGAAACTGAGGAGGACGGTGCCTGCCCGAGTAGATGCCGCCTCCGAGGCAGCCCACTAGTCTGGGGGACCAGCCCCGGGGCAGGAAGTACTTCCTGCGCGCACACCCCGGAGGGAGCCTCACACAAGCCCCCTTGCACGTGGGCCGTTAACAAACCACCGGGTGGCGTGGTAGAACCCAGGCGGCTGGGCCCTGCCCACCGAGCCTCCTTCAGTAGGTTCAGAGTGGGGCCCAGGAAGCCACATGTCTAACAGGGTCTCAGGGACCGCGGCCAGTTCTGGGGCCCACGCTTCGCGAACCGCTGACCTCGTGAAATCTCAATTTTCCTTCCGAAGCGGGTGGGCAGGACGCTGGGGTGGGCTAACCTGTGAGGTCGGTGCTGTGGGGAGCGGGGCCCTGCCCACCGGTACCTTGATGCACTTCACTCTCTCTGGGGAGGGCCAGCGCGTCAGACACCGAGGCCACCGGGCTTTCTTGGACCACGCGGTGGGGATCTCCACTCCGGGGGCCAGCTCTATCTCCACCTGACCTCCGGCTGTTTCCATGGCAACCCAAACTGCAGTGCTGTTTTTTAGCACGCTGACCTTTCCTGGTGGGAAATGATGAACAGGCTCAGAAAAAGCATTCAAAGAGGGAATTTGGGGACAGTGACTCTGACCACCTCCTTGTCACCGGAGGGGCAACTTTCCCAGGGTTAACAGCATGCCAAAGGGGGCGGGGCAGTGTTTGTGTCAAAACTGGACAATTACCCAAATAAATATTGATAGAAGCATTGCTTGAAAAATCTCCTGGCTGGTGGGTTTTTCTTTTCTCTTTCTCTTCCCTCGCGCCAAGGCTGTTACAGTACCTTTTCTTTTAAATTAATAGAGTCTTTTCAGAAGGCTCAACTGAAAGAGACGCTGAACACCAACAAAACGTAGAGTGTTTGCTACCACGAAATGAAATCCAAGCATTCAAACTGCCCCCTCATCCCACCCTTGTTTAGGATGCACTTGGTTGCCTTGCTTATTCACCGGCCTTTGGTGTTCAGTTTAACCCGTCTCTTACCTGAGTCACAAAGGTCTCGGGTGGTATTCGTTCCCACCACCCATTGTGCCAGCCTCGCCTCGGATGTATTTATCATCATAAGCCCCCGTAATTGTTAAATATTTCTAAGTGGCACGGCCACTGGCTTAAGGAGTGAGCAGAAAGGAGCCCTCATGCTGGAACCCTCCAACCAGGCAAAGAGAGTGAGCGGAAAGAAACACATTTGGTAAAGTTTTCCAGCTCATATACTAGAGCCCATTTCTAATTTGTTACCCCTTCTTTCAAAAGATACACAGCCTTTTTTGTTTGTTTGTTTGGCCGCCTTCCTTACAGGTAAGGATGAGACTCTAGGATGGGCATCTATTATTTTGCTCTTCCTTGCTCGGAGAAGAGAACAGAAGCTCCCTCGTTAATTGTGTTCGAAAGGAGAACATTCTTCTCTCCATGGCTGGGGTGTGATAAAAAGCGTATTGTCTGCATCTAATCAGAGCCGCCCAGACAGGAACGTGACAACGTCTGGCACTTCAGCACTATTTGCTGACGGCACCTCCTCAGCCCCGCCCCGTCTGAATCTCTCATGCCCACTTTCACTGCGAGCAGCGAGCAGCGTTGCAAAGCGAACAGGTCGGCAAGCGCAGCAGCCAGCCTGCGTGGCCCACGCCCTGCTCCCACGGCTTGCTCTGCTCCCTTGGCGTGTGACCTTCGGCATGTTACTTAATTTCTCTAAATCTAATTTTTTTCATCTGTAAAACAGATAGAAAAATAATTCCTACTATATAGGGGTGCAATGAGTATTTAACTAAATAATCCATGGAAGTACCCTGTCCAAGGTAACACCCCATCAAACATGAACTATCTCCATTATGGTGCCTTCCAGATTATTCTAGCTAGACAGGAAATGCACACTGAAATCCATTTCTTTCAGTACAAATGGAACCACGTGTTGGTCAGCACTTTGGTTTTTCACTTGCTTGCCTAGCACGGGCATGTTTCATAATTCTGTATGTACACACACACACACCTTGTTCTTTTTAAAGGTAGCATAGTCCCCTGGGCTGAGGACACATGATTTCCTGAGTCAGTTTTCCTTTGTTTCCACTTCGATCCTCTCTAGCTATTCATTATTACAAAGCCTATGGCAGTGAATATCCTTGTGCCTATTTCCTCGTGTATCAGTAGGAATCTATTTCTAGAACTAGAATTACTGAATTGTCAAGCATCACATTATAAAAATAAAAAGGGACAAGTTGCCCTTTAAAAAGTAGGCATCAATTCACACTTTCAAGAAAACGTGTTTCCCTGTACCCGCCCCTACACTGAGCATGTTCAGATGTTTTCATGTCTGTCAATCTGTTAGGTGTTTTAGTTTCTCAAAATACCTGTTAGATGGGGACATTTTTCCTTATTTTTACTAGCCCTTTATATTCTTTTTTTGGTAAGTTATGTTTTTTTCTGGTCATTATTTCTTTTGGTCTGCTTATGTACTTTTTCTTTCTGGTTTATAAGTTCTCTTCCACGATTGAGGAAATTAGCCATTTTTCCCATTTGGAAATTCACCTTTTCACTCCGGGTGAACAAAATGCGCGTGCGCGCATGTGTGTACGTGCACATACGTGCCACACTGTACTGTGACTTAAGATTTTGGGTTGTTGAACTTAGTTCTCCATGGCTTCTGGATTTTGTGTTTTGGTAAAAGCTAGTGATTTCCACGGGTGCCCTCTCATTCCACAGGGGTACTGCCGTCAGCTGCTGATATTGTAGTAGAAACGTGCTAATACCAAAGATCTGAGGTTTTATGAATAACTTGCTTTTTTAAAAAAGAACCCAAGCTTTTAAGCTACCACCTTGGAAAGGCTGCATCACCAACGCCCATCATATCTACGTCAGGGTGGTGATTACTGAAATCCACAGGGGCGTGTCGGTGTTGTAGGAATTCCAGTCTTCCGTGTGTGGCAGCAGAAAAAAGGGCTGATTTGTATCATGGGGATTGGAACAGGGGTAAAGAGCACATGTTCACTGTCTCCATACAGGAGCGTGAGCTTCAGGTGACACCCAAGCAGAGGTTTTATCAAGCAAAATGAAAATGCCCCAAATTCCCCTCGTACTTTTCTTGATCCACGCACCTGACAGGTGACAGGCTTCAATTGCGTTTTCCACCAGTGTCCGGAACACCTGGAGGACCTTGGCGGGCACAATGTCTCCCTCGATGTTCACATCTGCCTCGTGCCACTGCCACAGGCTCTTCATAAACTGCTGCACCTCCAGCCACTGCTGCAGGCCGTCCGGGTCCCGCAAGGGGCAGGGGAGCCTGGCGCCCTGCAACGTGTAGTACCGCCAGCGCTGCTCCCTGGCCTCCCTGTACCCGGCCAGGCCTCTCACTGGGACTGTGACAAGGAACTGGCTGGGGGCCAAAACCTGGGGTCAGGAGAGGAAAGAGGGGGAGGTAAGAGAAGTGCTCTGGATAGTCTGCAACCCACAGACTATCACTTCCAACTATTCCTCGACGGTGCCCCCCGTTTCCTCTGCCTGGTGCCCAATCTATGAAGCAGCCGCTCAGTAAATGAACAGGTGCGTCGCTCAGCGTTAATCATTATAGTGGCAAGTGCTTTGGAATCAAGGGTCTCAGTGCGAGTTCTGGCTTCAGTGCCTACTCTGACTGATCAAGTCACTTGATTTCCCTAAGTCTCAGTTCTTATCACCTGGAAAGCAGGAATAGGAGGGCTTGATGAGCTCGTAAAGGGCGAATATTAGAGTACCCATGGAAACAGGAAGTATTATTAGTATTCTTAGCGGTGTGAGTGCCTGTCACTTACTGAGCCCCGCCCACCCCAGTTTCTGGGCTCCCTGTGTGGGCACCCAGAGCCAATGAGACCCGCTCACCTTAATGTTCTCGTTGTATGTGAAGGAGTAAGGGACAGCTTGGAACCGGACGTCCTGGCTGCTGATTTTGGTGGTCAGACAGTAGATGACTTTCTGCACCTCCTCCACAGCCTGGGAAACCTGCTGGCGCCTCAAGTCCACCTGGGGAAGGGGGCAGGGAGCAGCACAGGAGTTATGTCTGGTCTGGCCACCTGGCACTGGCATAAAGAAGTGATGGACAGGACACAGTGGGGGTGACCAAAGGACTGTGACTCAAAAGTTCCTGCCTTCCCAAGAACTCCAGGGGAGGTGGATTTAGGTCTGATGATGCTCCTCCGCGCTCACTTCTAAAATAGAAGCCGTTCGTCCAGTGTTCATCTAGCACTCACTGTGGGCTGGGTGCTTCTGCTGGTGCTGGGGCCCAGCAGTGAGCAAGGCAGCCACGGGCAGGACACAGAGACCTGCCTCCTAGCTGGATGCACAGAATATAGTATATATGCATATAGGTGCACACGCATATACACAAGCATGTATGTATATATACAGGGTAGGGCAAAAGGAGGCTTACAGTTGTTTGTATGGGAAAATAATATAATAGTTAATAATACAAGAACGAACTCTGTGTTTCACATACTCACAACTATAAACCTCCTTTTGCTCCACCATGTATATGCATAGACACACATCGCGTGTGCGTGTAATATGCTATCAGGTATGGTAAGTCCCATGAAAAAAAATAAAAGAGGGTAAGGGGTTAGAGAAGTAAAGGGGTTGCTATTTTGGAATCAGAGGGCCAGGAAGTCATCCCTGGGGAGGTGACACCTGAGCAAGCCCTGACGACAGCTAGGGGAAGCAGACCCCGAGGCCCCGGACCGAGGGGCACGCTTGGCTGAGCCCGAGGTCTGGCAGGGATGCCCCTGGGGCTGAAGCCTGGAAAAGAAGGGTGATAGGACCGAGCCTGGAAAGGAGGGGCCAGGCCGTCCTCCTGCAGGGTTTTGGGCACTGTGGTGAGACCACAGTGTGATGGAGGATAACGCCCGCTGGCCAGGGTGGTGAATATGAACCAGTTTAGTAGGTGTGGCTATTAAACAGTTTAAAGCCTATAAACACCCAGCAAGCGCTTCCCGCCCGTGTCAGTGAACGATGGTCCCCTGCTCCTGTGAACTCAGCCTTCCTGCACCTGCGGGCGGGGGGCGGGGGCGGGGCGGCGTGCAGACGTCTCTTCCGACTGTGCCCAGCAGGTCTCTCAGAACTGAACACCAAAATGTATATACCTTAAGGGATACTTAAGGCCTAGGGAAGTAGATGCTTGTGGGAAACACAAGGGAACTTTTAGTAAACTCCAGGAGACACAGAAAAGTCCAAATGATTTCTGGATGGGAAGAGTCTGTAGGTTTTTTCTGAACTAGAGGAGCTCTTTGTTAGGTTGCCCATGAGGCCCCTGCGGGCTGGGACCAGCGGGGCGGCCTCCCGTAGAGATGCCCCTGAGCCCAGCCAGGCGCTGACTGGAAGCATCTAAATAATCTAAATGTAATGCCCACTCATGAATCTGTCTATTTCTTCGGAGTTTTGTGTAGTGGCTGTTTCTATATATTCTAGGGTAGTTTTTAGACACCCATAAGCCGGTCAAGAAAAAAAGCCCAACTCAACGAGATTTCTGTTTTTCTAAACTTAGTCATCAGTTTGTCCAATCACCTCATACCTCCCACCAACCAACAAGCCAACTACATATGGACACGTAACACAAAGGTGCATGTGCATCTATTTGTGCACATGTTGTATGTCACATAGAGTCAGTTCATCATTAAACATCTATCTAGCTATGTGCCAGACACTGTTACATGCTAGGGCACAGCAACAATAACACAGACATACATGGCCATGAACTTAAAGCGGTGGGGAAGACAGATGTAAGTACAGAAATTAAGGGAAGGTGCCATTCAGTACAATGAGGCACCTTGAAACCTATTTTATATGCACATATAAAGGTGTACACAGAGGACTGGCTTTGAAAAAACTAATTACTAATACACTCCAGATTCCTAGGAATAACAAGAAATATAATACGAGGTCTCTGATCTTCACAATTTCACAGTTCCATCGGAAATATGGGATAGACATGAAGTTGTCTCTTCAAAATCCATGGGTCTTGTCTGACCTTAAATAAATAATATGAGCATATCTATACTAGCTTTCCACAACTCCTTTTGCTACCAGCAGTCACCTCTACCCCCAAAATATTCATCCCACTATACTCACCTTGAGAAAAGGGACCAAAGGTAATTTTCTTGAACATTTATAAACTATCAAGACTCTGAATCTGCCAGAGTGTGCAAGTGGAAGAGAGCAGGGGGCCCCAGAGGTGAGGTCATTTGCCAAAAATTAAGAAAAATGCCTTCAGAAGCCGGTGGTGGAGGGCCCTCTCCAGGGTAGGACTTCTGCGTGTTGCGATTCCACTCCACTGGGCCAATTTTTGTTGAACACACACTTCATGCCAGGCTCTGTGCACACATGTTGTTAAGAGGTTTACAGGTGAGATGGGGAAAGAAAAGACAAAGTGCAAACTAAAATTGCAGCCATCCAGTGCTGAGGTGAATGTTTGCCCGGGGTGCTCTGGGTACACAGAGGGGGACCCTGCCCTGGTTTGGAGACTGGTAGGCCCTTCCTGGAGACATCGTGTGTAAGAATTGCATCCTGAAAGACCAGTAGGAGTTAGCTAGAAAGAGACAGGCAGGAAGGTTGTTCTAGAAAGAGTATGGCAGACACCTGGCACGAGAAGCATAGGAGAGATCTGTAATTGTTCCTGTATCCTTGGGGCAGAGATCACCTTGTAGGAAGATGGTGAGGTGGGAGAACAAACAGTGAGAGGTCTTGAGAGTAAAGAAAGAAGAATTTCCAGAACAACGTCAACACTAAATAGCTGAGTAAGATAAGGTCTGAACAATGTCCACAGAATTTGGAGCTGGGACAGATTGGAAGGGTCCCGGGACTTGCAAGGCATTCCGCCAGATTGCAGTGGCTTGAGAGGGAACGGGAGATGAGCAAGTGAAGACAGAGGTAAGCAGCTCCTCCAGGAAGTTGGCTGGGGAAGGAAAAACAAACAAGGGCACCAACAGGTTTTTTCAAAATGGCACACAGGTCAGGACATGTCAAATGCTGACAGGAAAGAGCCAGCGGAGAAGGAAGAGGCCATAGAAGGCAAAGCCACTGAGTAAGGATTTCGCAGCCGGGAACAGTTGTGCAAACGCAGGAACCTGGTGAGGAATACACCTCGGGGTGTCGGGAGGAAAGAAAGGTAGGTGCAAATGCAGGTGAAAGGGTAGGGGATGGCGGGAATCAGGGAGATTTCCTGTCTGATGTCTGTTTTTCTTTCCAATAGCAGGCAATGTCCTGATAGTGAGGTGGAGAAGTGGAAGGAAGGGGACTTCCGGGTGACAGACTTTGGAAATAGCTTCTCTAAGGAGTGAGGGGCTGTCTGGGTACAGGTGGAAGATTGCCAGGCAGCACCCAAGATGGATGTGGGCTGGTCCATGAAGCTGGGAGACACCAGCGGGTTCAGCTGTAAGCTCTTCTCCAGCACCAGCGGTAGCAGCTGAGGCGCTGAGATTCAAGTTTGCAGGGCAAGATCCAGAGACAGGCAGAGGAGCAAGGGAGGGTTTCGGCGGTGGGTCATGTTTTCCAACCCGGGCAGGGAAGGGACAGAGCCAGCTAGTAGATTAGGGGACATTGGATAAGTTCAGGGTCAGGAATAGCAGGGGAAAGTAACCCAAGGGCTGTGTAGATAGAACATTGCAGTCAGGGTAGTTGGGAAATAGCATTCTCAAATACTGTTGCACTTGAGTATTCTCAGGACAAAGGCTAATCTAATCCTTCTATTGCACTGGCCATGGATAAGTTATGCTCTATTTGTTAGCAGGCAGATTCAGTTACTCTAATTAAGCAGAGTTTATGCGGAAATAGCCATGGGAGGCACCCACTCGTTAAGGGTGCCATCCCTGTTTGGTGGCCTCCCTCTCTCCAGGGCATGTCTGTGTGTTCATACGCGTGTACATGGCCTGTCCTGGGCAACTTCTCTTCCTCCCAAATCACGCTGTCAGTTGCTACAATGACTAGCTCAAGTTTGTGGACCATTTTTACTATTTCAAAGAGAAATTATGGAGACATCTAGGTTGTTCCCTCTCAAAACATTCTGACTCATTTGCATTCCCACATGCTTCCTGGAGAGAGGTGGAGAACTGGCGCTAAACAGCATGCTGGGAATGAGATTTCACACAGGCCTGGTCACACCGCTGAGCATGTGGTCTATGGGGATGTCATCAATGAGGAATGCCACTGGGGGAAACAGCTGAGAACTTCCTTCCCGACAACAGGAAGTCAGACTTTTAATTCTGGAATTGCATTAAATCCCGTGATCAGTTTTTAAAAAGGACAGATGCCATCTCTGTCTTCCAAGGGTTAATGGTGGAAAGGGATGGAGACGTAAATTCAGCGATACACATAGAGGAGACAGGTGTCAGCCGTCATACCCCCGTCTTTTCAGACTAATTCTTCCATGAACCGGATGCTTGGGCCCCACAGGATATTTGCAGCTCCCACGTGCAGCAGAAGCCTTAGCAACTGCTGCACGAAGAAGCTCAGACTGGTGAGTCTTGCCAAGAGCAGGATACTTCATAAAGGTTAGTTCCTTTGAGTCTCCCAGTTATCTTTTAAGGTGGGTGCTATGATTGCCCCCATTTTGCAGATGAGGAGACTGAAGGTCAGAAAGCGTAAGTAATTTGCCCAGGGTCCCGGAGCCAGTAAGTCACAGGACAGGGATCCACGCACAGGCCGTCATCCCGAGGCCCATGTCAGAACCGTGGCACTGCTCTGCCTCCCTAAGGACAAGGTGGCTGTGAGGGAAACCCACGCCCGCTGCTTGAAAGGACTCCCTTAGGCGGCGGCCTCCGTAGGGATCCTCCGCGGGCTGAAATCCTACGCATGCGCAGAGGCTTTGCCTCCGCCCAGAAATGCTTCTCCCATCAGAGCTACCACGGCTCCTCCAGGAGCAGCCCGTTTAAATCCGGTTACAGCCCTGTGCTCAGCCACGTATGACGTTAAGCATTTGCCCGCCTGCACCCTTGAAAGGCCACCCTTGAAGACACCAGGAGCACAGGATTTTTTCCTTAGCGAGGGACATTCCGGACCTGGGTTCCGGGCACCGTGTTTTTCCCAAAGCCTGTGCTCAGTGTGGTCTACAGAGATACGCATCGAGGGGTTTAGCAAAAGGCATGTGGCTTTGGGGTAAAAAAAAAAAAAAAAAAAAAGAGAGAGAGAGAGAAGGCTGACACCTCAGCACCTCCTCTACCAAGCTGTGTGACTTTGGACGAGTTATTTAATTCACGTGAGCCTCTGTTCCCTCCTCCGCGTGTGTCACATGGTTGTCATTAGACTAAATGGGATACTGTGTGGGCCTCGACCCGCCAGCACCTCTTACACTTTCCTTGCATTACCTTCAACGAACCCTGAAGATAATTCTGACCACAGACATGCAAAGACACTGTGTGAATATCAAGGGAATAAAGACATCCAAGACCCTCTTCTTCCCTCCAGAAACTTAGAATTAATAAACCAATATACTGTTTGCAATTGATTGTCAAATAAATATTATCAGTAATAATTATGAGGGGAGTTCACAGGAAGGCAAAAAACGTTTTGTGCTGGGGCGTCAGGGAGATTTTGGTTGAGGACGTGGACTCTGAGCTGAATGTGAAGGGCGGCTATGAGGCCGAGAAGCGGGGAGGAGAGAGGTTGCCCCCCCTGGCGGAGGGAAGCGGGGAATCTACGGCCTGAGACCTCAGAACACAGTTCTCGGGGTGGGGGCAGGAGTGGCAGACACAACATCACCAGGGGCTGGGTGGAGACACACGTGGGCAGGGGTGGGGGCGGGTGTCATGCCCAGGACAGCTGCGGCCCGCGGAGCCAGTGCGCCCCGTGTTCTGCCAGACAGACGCACGGCTCCTGCCCACGGTTGCCGGGCAAGAAACTGGAACCTGTGGTTGCCAGATATCTTGATGATTTTTTTTTCCCCCAGAGAGGATGAAAATCTGGGTTTCTATTCAGAAATCTGTATTTTAAAATACAGGGCGGGCAAAAGTGGGTTTGCAGTTTTTCGTAGGGAAAATAATACAATAATAAATAATAATACAAGAATAAACTCTGTTTCTCATACTGTTGCCCACCCCATATTTGTCCACCCCATATTTGTAACACATTTGAAAAAAATTTTAAAATTCTCCAACAGGCTAAAGAAGGCACGTGCACACGCTGGATTCAGTGTGTGGAGCTCTGTTTGAAAGTCCTATTGGAGATGCAGGGACGCAGAGAGTAGGAAGATAAAAACACAGGAAAATGGGGGAAACGGTGGCCAACACTCCTTCCATCCAATAGCCCCCAAAAGGAAAAACAATGGGAAATCACTTATTTTGCTATAATTTATCATCATAAGTTTTCCTGGTTTTGCCTAAGAAATCAACTTATTACGATGATAATGAACTCGGAATCAAGGGGAGGCGGAGGGGGGAGGCTGGGTGAGATGGGGGGAGGAGGGGGGAAGGAGGGGTGAAGAGGGGAGAGGTGAGGGGAGGAAGGGGGAGGCGGGAGGAGGAGGGGTGCACAGGAGACCAGTGTCTGTCCTTACCTTACCCAGCAGGCACTCTTCTAAGTTTTCTGCAACCAGAGATTTCATTGCCTCTTGTTCAATTCTGAGCAGAACTGCAGCAACGTCTGGGTTTGCTTCTCAGTGCAGGAGACAGCTCTTGTGGGTCGCTCTCCCAATAACGTCAGCCTCTCTGTTATATTTCTCTGGGAATGTGTACAGGCACCAGACACGTGCCTTCTCAACTCTTACTCCCAAATTGTAAGCGTCCATCTGTCATCTTTGGAAGAATGAAAAAAAAATTAAAAAAGGAGAGTTGATAAAATGGAATTTGAGTCCAACCTAATTTTACCCTGTTCAGCTCTGGTGCTCTGGCCAAATTGCAATTTTCCAAGTGTACTTTCCACTCAAATACTTCAGGACAGAAACCCCTGAGGTGGCTTCTCCCCACCTTTTTATCCTCTTGCCCTAAAACTAGACACACTCTTGAGCTCAGTATCTTTTATCTCCTCATCCTTCTCCTGTTGACAGTAAATATCCCTTGCCCTCAGACCCAGAAAATCCCACAGACTGATCTACCTTCTTTACAATAAACAGAATAGGAAACTGCCAAACAGCCAGCCTGCCACCCGTCATGATGCCTACAAACAGGGGGTCAGGGCTTGCCAGCCCGATCAGGGCACAACAAAGAGCTTGCAGAACAGCACACACATGCACAGGCACGCACACACAGGCACACCCACCAGAGGCAGCACCAAGATCCTTCTGCTCACCTGCTGACCTTTACCCCTCCTTCCACTTGAAAGCTGGCCATAAAAATTAAATCACTGTAAACAGAACCCCTGGGAATCAAGGAAACCATTGCGGCTGGTTTTGCCAGCAAAACCATGTTGGGAAACAGCTCCGGCAGTAGATTCCCAGTCTGGCTGGCTGGAGCTAGTTTCATACAGGGGAAAAAAAAAAAAATCACTGGTCTGATCTGATCTCCCTGCTGCTGGTAAACAGTAGAGTGTGCGATCAGATGATCTCAGGAAATCACAGCGCTCTAGGAGCCCCGCTTGCTTCTGAGCAGCGTTCCCAACCACCTCGGGGTGCTCGGCAAGGCACTGCGGGGTGCTGGGGCGACTCCGCTTTCTGTGGCCTCAGAATTCGCGTATGTCCCCTACTCTGCTGGTGGCAGGAAAGCCCAGGCAGAGCTCCCAGGCTGCTGTGCTCCGCCCACCTCCACCCACTCCTTAATCCGAGGGCTCAGTCCAGCCTCTTTCCACAGGTCCCTTCTGTGAATCTGTAGTCTGATAAGGACAAGGGAAAGCCACTTCCTCAGTGCTGCCGTGAGCCCTGACTGGTGTGGCTCAGTGGGTTGGGTGTCGTCCAGCACTATTTTGATTTCAGGTCAGGGAACATCCCTGGGTTGCTAGCCAGGTCCCCAGTTGGGGGTGCACGAGAGGCAACCATTTGATGTTTCTCTCCTTCTCTACCTCCCCCTGCCCCCCTCTCTAAAACCAAATAAAGAAAATCTTTTTAAAAAATACTGCCTTAATTTTTACATTTTCTTCCATTTGTCATTCTAAGTCTCTCTCTCTCTCTCTTTTTTTGCTATCAAATGCTCCTGAATATTTCTCAATATTCTTTCCTTGGCTGCTCTTACCACTGAGCAGGTGTTCCGAATAATTGACTTTTCACAGACGGAACAAGAGCTTCTCTCCCTTTGAGCTTCTTGTGATTCAGAATTCTGGACCCACCTTATTTGCAACTTAGCCCAAGTCTTCCGGTTTCTTCCATATGCTCTTATATTTCTCCTTACTCCTGCTTCACTGCAATCATTAACTGGAGTCCCTTTCCGATGACGGGGCCTTTCCTCCCATTCAAAGGTTACCCCACATACACGTCATCAGATGTGTAAACTTGCGTCACTTTTGCCTGTGGCTCTCCTGCTGCAATTGCTCCAGCACCGCAGCTGATCAAAACGATAAAATCGAATCTTCTCTTGCACTGGGGCCAGTGATGCTTGCCAGATGGGAGGGAGGAAAACAACACACAGGGCCAATGGAGGCACTGGGAGAAGAAGCAAGAAGCATGTGCTCAGGGTGACTTACTATGGTCTATTTTTACCTGGATGTCAGACCCAGGAAATAGGGATATTGTATAAACACAACCAGTTCCTTACTCTACGGTTCCAAACAGAGGGCAGTCACAAATACGGTGACCTCTCACAGATCGGGGAAAAAAACAGCTTTCTTTGCAGATACAGATCTCTGGTTAATTGGATATTGGGTCAGCAAATATTTACTGAGCAACAGTCTGCCTAGGGCACTATGCTAGGATACTCGGAGGGGTTCAAAGATGACTCAGATTCTTCTCCATCCTCAGGAAATAGGTCTCCTCATTTCTCATGACTCACGCCAAATGCAGGCCTGCACAGGGAAGCCAGCTTTGATGACTTCTGTTGTGAAGACCAAGAAGTTATTCTTCAAAAGCAGTTTAACAAGCTAGTCACAGCCCTAAACCGTAAGTATGAGAAGTCCCAGAAAGACAGTCACCCTGGCTCACCAGCGGAGGGGCTCGTTCCTGATTTACCTGGTGGCCGCGACATTCATCCCAAGAAGGTGAAGCGTTGGCTTGATCCAAATCAATCTTAAATATTCAAATTTGTTCAAGTTCACCAAGGTTATGAACTCTGACTTACTCTTTCAAAGTTTTCCTTAAATCCTGGGGTGACTCACCTCTGACAGCTCAGAGGCCCAGACAGAGATCGTTGTTGACTCTGTGAAGCCCCCAGTGGGGACCAGGAGGGGACCCTGTGTGCTCTGTATCCCCAGTGCAGTGAGTGGCTGACACATAATCGACCCTCTGTTAATAGTGGTGAATATTTGATTGCATTAAACATTAAAGTGATATTCTTATAAATAAATATGTTGAAGTAAAGTCACTTTATAAATTATCAATTTAATTTCATACATGAACATATGATCTCTTTAAATTACTATCATCTTTTATAGAAAAACCTGATAAAAGAACTTAGCATAGTATCTGACACATGATAGGACATCAATAAACATTTTCATGTTCCATTTTCTTCTTTGAGAAAAAAGACCCTTCTGTTAACATAGGTGATGAATTCTCCTGGTCTTATGTCATGGGAAAGATCTTTCATTGGGTTGGCCTGCACAGTTCCATCAAAAAGCTTGCGTCCTTTCCTCTCATACCCAACATGGCAACTGAGATAGTGTGAACTTGACCTATTATCAAGGTTCAGGGGTGGAGGATCCCAAATTCAAATGCCTACATGAGCCTAGATGGTAATATGATAAACATGATAGGGTAGAACAATGGAAAGGGGTGGGGCCCATGGTGAGTTAGAGAATATATTCCCTGTCTAGGATATTCTACGTTGTGTGTGTGTGTGTGTGTGTGTGTGTTTAAGGCTGTACTGGACAATATGAAACCCTCCCCTGTACTCTGTGCTCCTGTAAAACTAAACTTGTTGCAGTTTCCTAAAAAGCTTTGACATCTTCTCTGGGCCCTTACTCAAGGCAATGTTCTCTGCTTGGACATTCACCCCTCCCTCCAACTCCCTCTGAGACTATTTCTGCTCATATTTGTCCTCCAAGATTCAGCTCAGCTGCCACCTGCTTCAAGGACCTTTTCTGATTCTCAAGGCTGAGTAGAGCATTCCATGTGGTGTATCAAGGATACACCAGGCTTACGTTCCTTAAAGGCAAAGGTTTACCTTATTGATTACAGTACTTAGCATAGAGCAGGTGTTCTATAAGTAGCTCTAGAACGGATGAAGGAATGTGTGAGTGAATAAATGAGTAAGTGAAGGTGGCTCCATTTCTCATTCTACAATCCAGTCCCATCTGACCTATAGGCATAAGCTCCAGTGAGAAAATAAACAGGTAAACAATGAGTGAACGCTCACTGCTTTACTTTGGAGCACAAATAACAAATGCTGGAAAAGCTGACTTCAACACAGAAAGCGCCAAGCAACAGGATAAGATGTGTCCGTACCTGAAGGAAGCCACTATTCACAGCCAAACTGTCAGAATTGCTGAAAAACTGCCCAGGGCTGGGAACTTGCTGTGTGAAGCTCGGTATCCAAACATACATGTGTTTTGTAAAAGTCATGGTTCCATTTGGCTGTGACTTTTCAATAAAAAGTACACTATTTCTTAGCAGCAATTATTACCCCAATAATCCAGAAAAAGGAGCCCTCCAACATCAGCCTGAAGGGAGAAAACGTTTACTTAACACCACCTCTACCGCTTGTATAGCCTTTGATCAAAAGAAATAATGAGAAGTGATTAGTGCTATTAACTCCAGCATTCTATGCAGCAAAGATGACCTGCTTTAGTTCCAAAATACAGGGTCCAGCACAAATAACACCCCCTTTTCATTACGAAATATTTTATTACAAAACTATAAGCATGTAATTCTGTAACATAACAGTATCACACTCAAGCACACCATATGACATTTTAGGTGAAATGTTCAAATTAAAACTATAAATTACTGCAGCCATATTATTACCCTACTCGCCACACTCAAGCAAGGCATTACTTCTGCCAGACCCTGCCGCGTATATTACATAACCCTAGTTTGTGCTGGGGAAAGTAAAGGAGGCCACATAGATCTGCTCCCATCTGTCTGCGTGTCCGTCTGTCTATACTCCATCCACTGAGAAGTCACTCTGGTTCTTCCTCATTCAAATGGCCCATGTTGAAAGGCAGCCCAGAAACCGATTTTTAGCAGAGACCCACTGTTGATGAATAAACCTCTTGCTATGGCTTGGATGACACTTTAATTTCTAATTAAATAGCTTCCACCGTCATATCTCCCTACCAGGTAAACAGAGCTGCAATTTTCCTCTGAAACCCTCCCTTAAGTTGGAATGCAGCTCACTTCCCTCTGCTTTGAGTCACATGAGGCTGGCGCAGTGTTCAGCTGACACCTCTGAGAGTAAGGAACACATTTACGGAAGGAGACATCGGTGTTATTAATTTGTTATGCTGTGAAGCTAACTGGCACTTTATTGAGCTGTTCACCCCCGTCTCTGTGATTTCTGAGTTGGAAGGTGTCAGGAAATAAGCAATGGGCAGAATTAATTGTTACTAGTTCTAAGACACACAGGTGACTGATTTCCCACCTCCTCCCTCACTCTCTATTGCTCATGACATATGACAAATTTGTCCCTTTTTTTTTTTTCAGTTAAAAGAGACTCAAAGATAAGATACAGACACAGAGATCAATGGAACAAAATGGAAAGTCCAGAAATAGACTCACACAAATATACTCATTAGATCTTTGACAGAGTATAAACACAATTTAGAGGAAGAAAAAATAAGATTTATCGGAATAATTGGTCATCCATAAGAGAAGAGTTAGACCTTGACATGAAGCTCAAAGCTTATATATAAAGATTGGCTCAAAATGGACCATAGCCTAAATGAAAACTATACAACTATAAAGTGTTTAGAAAACAACCAGGATAAATTTTTGTGAACTAGCGTTAGGCAAAGAGTTCTTAGACTGACACCAAATGAAAGATATATTTAAAAAATGACAAACTGGACTTCGTCAGGTTCAAAATTTTTAAGCTTTTGTTCTTCCAAAGATACTGTCATAAGAACGAGAAGACAAGATATGGATGAGGAGTATATATTTGAAAACTACACATCCAACAAAGGACTTGTATCCAGAATATACAAAGAACTCTCAAATTCAACAATAAGAAAACAAATAACAATTAAAAATGTGTAAAGGACTTGCACAGATACTTCACCAAAGAGGATATAGATGACAAATAAGTACATGAGTCAGTCTCATTAGCAATTAGGGAAATGAAAATTAAAAACATGATAAGATACAATTACTTGCATGCTCATGTGAATGGCTAAAATAAAAAAAAAACCACCAAAAACACCAAGTGTTGATAAGTATATGGAGCAACTAGAAATCTCATACATTTCGAATGGGAATATAAAATGGTACAGCCACCTTGGAAAATGGTTTGGTAAGTTCTTATACAGTCAAGTATATATTTGACCCCCAGAAATCCCACTCTAAGGTCTATAGCTTAGAGAAACAAAAACTTGGTTTACACAAAAACCTGTACATAACTGTTCACAGCAGTTTTATTGGTGATAGTTAAAATCTGGACACCACGCCAGCACTCTTCAGTATGTGACTGGATAAAGAAACTGTGGTACATCCATATCTTAGAAGACTATGCAATAGTGAAAAAGAACAAACTGTTGATATACACAACTTGGATAAATCTTAAAGTTATTATGTTGTGTGAGAGAACTCTTTCGAAGGTTACATACTGTATAATTCTATTTATTTAGCATTCTTGAAAATTCTTTAAAAATATTAAACTGTAAGGGTAAAGAACAGATCAGTGTTTCCCAGGAGTTTGGGGTGAGGTGAGGATCCTACTTTATTCCTTTATCTTCAATGTTTCCTTGCTTTGACGTCTGTTCTTCCTGAAGTTAATACAGTTATCCCCACTTTCTAGCATGGTATATTTTTATCCACCCATATACTTTTAATCTTTATATCTAAAGCAGATTTCTTGTAGACAATATATAGTTGGGTTTGGTTTTTTTGACCCACACTGACAATCTCTCTCTTTTAAACGGTAAATTTAGACCATTCACAATTACAGTAATTATTCATAGAGTCAGATCCTCATCTATCAGGTTTGTTACTGTTTTCTTGCCTTGTGCATTGTGGCTATAACTTTTGTAATTCGAAGTGCAGCAGCAAAACAAGCATGAATTTCTTTTTCTTTCTTCACAATTTCACAGACAGAAGAGATTTTCTTACCC